TCTATTAATGCCAGGAAAGTAAAATGAAAATGAATTATGGTTTTGACATGTTAAAGCAAAAAAGGAGGAAGCCGTTAGCCTGAGGTCTTGCCTAAGCAAACGGAAACCGAACTTCGAGGCATGTAAACTGACTTAAAAACATTGACAAACTACCCAATCGATGTCAAAAAGCCCAGCCGCCAGTTGGCTGTATGACTAGGGTTGCTGAGGGAACCAACCCCACAACCAGGGATCGCCTAGCTGGAGCCAATGAGGAACCTCACTTAGCTGTCACCGCTAAGAGCTCGAAGTCCCAAGCCCTGTTTCCCGTTCTGGTGCTTCAGGCATGATTCATGAATCATTCCTTTGTTCAAATTTGCCTAAAATTCTTCTAACTCCTATATTCTAACCCCTAACCCTAATGGCTAGCCCTAATCCTCACCCTAAACGCCAACCATACGTTAGTTTCTACATTTGCACTATGTCAGTGTTGATGATTAAAACTGCTGGATTGGCAAGGCCGCATGACCACTGCGGATTTTACAGGAAAGTATTTGGAGTGAGGTCTTGCATTAGAATTACAGGTGTTTTCTACGTGAGCACTGTGGGTGTTGTATTCGTATTTCGGCTATCTTTGCCTGCTTTAGGAACGCTCTATTTGTGTTCTGAGGCCGCAGTGCGAGTTCTGCACCTCGCACTGCAGCCGCCTGGCCGTGGGTGGGGAGAACCTAGGTGCGCAGGATTCAGAGGAGCTTTTGGTGTCCAGTTTTCCATACCAAGATCTTACTAGTCTCTGACCCTAAGCATTCAGGGCTGCAAACAGGAAGGATTTTACTCACTGTGGACGTGGCCTAGAGTTGTAGCTAGGCTATGCCCGCTAGGTCTGTGCCGTGGAGAACGCAGCTCCGCACTCACAGTTCCCCACAGATGGATACTGAGGAGACTGTGACTCCGCAGACCGGTGGGACGCTGCGCGACGCACGATTGGTGTTAGGGCATGGTGTGATTACTATATTAGAGACCACTGTTAGAATATATATATCCACGGCCGGGCGCGGTGGCTCAAGCCTGTAATCCCAGCACTTTGGGAGGCCGAGGTGGGTGGATCACGAGGTCAAGAGATCGAGACCATCCTGGTCAACCTGGTGAAACCCCGTCTCCACTAAAAATACAAAAATTAGCTGGGCATGGTGGTGCGTGCCTGTAATTCCAGCTACTTGGGAGGCTGAGGCAGGAGAATTGCCTGAACCCAGGAGGTGGAGGTTGCAGTGAGCCGAGATCGTGCCATTGCACTCCAGCCTGGGTAACAAGAGTGAAACTCCGTCTCAAAAAAAAAAAAAAGAATATATATATCCACAGCCAGTGTGTCTTGGACATTGACAATATCAGAGTGTAGTCAAAACAGTGGGATTTGATGGTTTCATTTTTCTAGCTGAATTCCTTCCTCTGCTGAGTACTCTCTAAAACTCTCTCCTTTGCACTCAGGGCTGTGGACAGGAAGTTTTTTACTCACCAATGAACAACACCAAGTTGACACGACCTCCCTGCTGCCCTGAGGAAGATAAAGCTCCTTGCTGCTTCTGGCACCTCAGAGGGAAGTTGCTCAGGAGTGGGTACGTGGGCCCTATGGTGGCGCCAGGGCTCAGCACAAATGCTGTTACTCAACTGTTTCTCCGCGGACGTGCACCCCCTCCTAGTTGTCCTGAAATACCTATAAAATTCAATATTCAGTTTATTCAGTGTCATAATTTTGGAAATTCAAACTGAAATGAAGCCCACTATAACCATAACCCTCCCAAAAACGGTAATGGAAGGATTATTGGAAGCCATATACAATGAAAGGTACACACAAATTAAAAGATAAAAACCTATTCAAAATAGTCCAGAGACTGTAATTGAAAATGCAAAACTGTAAGAAATCCGAAAGAAAATCTATGTGACATTGGGCTTGGTGTTGAGTTTTAACACAAAACATCAAACGACAATTCATGAAAATATTCATAACACAGACTTTATAAAAATCAATTTTCTGTGAAAAATCCTATTCAGAGAACAAAAAAGACAAGACAGATTGTGAGAAGATATTTACAAAATACATATGTGATTTTTAAAACTGTATTAAAAATACACAAATAAATCTTCAAAGGAACAGTTAGAATTTTAAACTGGCCAGGCACAGTGGCTCACACCTATAGTCCCAGTACTTTAGGAGGCCGAGGCGGGTAGATCATCACAAGGTCATGAGTTAAAAACCAGCCTGGGCAACATGGTGAAACCCTGTCTCTACTAAAATACAAAAAATTGCCACGCGTGGTGGCACACAACTGTAATCCCAGCTACTCGGGAGGCTAAGGTGGGAGAATTGCTTGAACCAAGGAGACAGAGATTGTAATGAGCCAAAATTGTCCCACTGCACTCCCGCCTGGGTGACAGAGCAAGACTCTGTCTCCAAAAAAACAAAACAAAACACCTAAAACTAAAACCTCAATTAAAACTGGGTAAATATCTGAACACTCAGCCAAAGAAAACATACTATAGATAGCATGCTGGGCATGGTGGCGCATGCCTGTAATCCCAGCACTCTGGGAGGCTAAGGCGGGTGGATCACCTAAGGTCAGAAGTTCGAGATCAGCCTGGCCAACATGGTGAAACCCCCTCTGTACTAAAAATGCAAAATATTAGCCAGGCATGGTGGTGGGTGCCTGTAACCCCAGCTACTTGGGAGGCTGAGGCAAAAGAATTGCTTGAACATGGAAGGCAGAAGTTGCAGTGAGCCAAGATCAAGCCATCGCACTCCAGCCTGAATGACAGAGCGAGACGCTGTCTCAAAAAAAAAAAAAAACCAAAAATATACAGATGACAAATAATCACACAAAAGGATGCTCAACATCATGTCACATTACGAGACTGCAAATTAATATAACACCGAGATGGCTGGGCACGTTGACTCATGCCTGTAATCCCAGTTCTTTGGGAGGCTGAGGCTGGTGGATCACGAGATCAAGAGATTGAAAACATCCTAGCCAAGATGGTGAAACTTTGTCTACTAAAAATACAAAAATTAGCTGGGCATGCTGACACATGCCTGTAGTCCCAGCTACTCGGGAGGCTGAGATAGGAAAATCGATTGAACCCAGGAGGCAGAGGTTGCAGTGAGCCAAGATGGTGCCACTGCACCCCAGCCTGGTAAGAAAGTGAGACTCCGTCTCAAAAAAAAAAAAAGAAAAGAAAAGAAAAGAAAAAAACGAAAGACTGAGATATCACTGCACATCTAGTAGAACTGCAGGTCTCTAAAAATAGTTCACCAATAACAATTGGAGGTTGAAGAACAAGAGGTACTGTCATTGGTGACTGGTAGAATGCAGCCACTTTGGGAGATAGTTTGACAGTTTTTCCCAAAGATAAATAAATCTTACCTGCAATCCAACAAATGCACCCCTAAATTGTATATGTTCAGACAGCTGCTTTGAAAAATTATTTTCAAACAAAAACTAGCATAATCAACTTCAAGTACAACCACGCAATGGGATACCATTCGGCAACAGAAAGGAATGAACTCCTCCTCCACTGGCTTTGAGTGTTGACAAACGAAGCGCACAGTTGCCCTTTCCCCCCGACAATTGACCTTACTGAAACAGAAGGCCCCCTTCCACCTCACACCCTGGGCTGAAGGGCACAGAAGGCCTCTGGTCTTGAGGTAGGACTAACTCCGTGGGGGCAATTTGCCCTCCAGAGCTTCCCTGGGACAGGGAGTGCGATGGTAAAGCCGGCTTCCAGCTGAGACCACAACCTTGCTGAGCTTCTTCCCTCTGCCACCCTCACTCTTCTGAGAATGCCCCTAAGTCATTTGAACAGTGGCCTTCTCAGGGTCAGCTTCTAAAGAACCTGATATAAAATAGTTCCATTAAACCAATGTGAAGGTGAACTTTATGGTATGTAAATTCTATCCAGCAAGGCAGCTGTGTTTTTTTTTTTTTAATACTTACTAGTCATTTATAGTAACTAAATTTTTATAAACATCACCTCATCAGGCTATACATTCCTGGAAACCCCTGATCAGGTCAAACATCTTATGTTGAACATCTAAGTACTGCTGATTTAAAGGGGAAATGTGCTTGTTTTTGAGCTCCCAAATTACTACCTATTCTTTTGAAAACACTAAGTTCCACTGAAATGGCCTCTACTCTAGTGAACTGAGAGTTAACATGGGTTACCCTGCAATAGGTCAATGCAGCCACCCCTCACCGGGAAGGCTGATGATTTGCAGGTTCTTCTGTCTTTTTGCCTGGTACATATTTCAGAGCCACAAAACACACACATTTATTCAATGTTTATGCAATTCAGCCTTTATTGTAAAAAAGGAAACAATAAAAACAAAATCCTATTAACAAACACAATGCAAATGATGCCTGAGATTACCATAAAAACATACTAGCAAGCCACAAGTACCAGAGAGGGGTGAAGAGGCGCATCTACTAGCTCTTCTCTTGCAGTCCTGCGCCTCCCACAGGAGGCACAAGGTCCAAACTATTACTAGGGGGAAAAAAAAAAAAAAAAAAAAAAAAAAAAAAAAAAAAGGATAGTCTCTTTATGCTGAAATAGGAATTTTAATCTCTTCTTGTAGTCCAAATGGATGTACCTTGCAGTGTGGCTACAATGACTCTGGATTTCACCAACAATAACGCTTGAGTATTCCTAACCAGAGTTGAGCTTGTCACCTGCTTTTACTTAACTCTAATGGAAAACCTGTTCCTGTGATCTCAGCTTTACCTAGAAGAGCTCCTGAAACAGAGTAGGTACACAAAACTCTGGAATGAATAGCTGTCTGCTCAAAAATATTTTATTTAAAAACAGATGATTGGGAAACTGAGAAGGAAAAAGGGTGGGAGACCACACAGGGAAAGCGTGGGGCCTCACAGATTCAGCTGGGGACTGGGGATAAGGGACAATCATTACCTTGGCAGAAGCACAAGGAATTGTCCCTGAGGTCAGCTTTGGAAAGAAAAAACAAAAACAAAACCCACCTAAATTTGCTTTACTAAAGAGACATACAATCATGTTTTCTGATTGTCTTCACTGTCTAGCCTTGCGGGGAGGTAGGTGAGAAAGGTGTTAATGATATTGATCCCTAATTCTGCTTCAAGATCTGGTGTGGACTTCTTCCACCAGTCCAGAGTTTGCTGGTACTGACCTCATCCCTGTATCAAGGGCCTTGAATGTGGGAGGCTAATGGGATGGGGTTGCAGGAGGCAGGAGAGGGGATGGCCTAGAGAGTTTCTTCATTCAGAGCTGGAGAGTTGCTGAAGGAAATGCTATGTTGAAAGGGCTCCACCCACCCCTAGCCCTAGCCCCTCAGCTGTGGGGAGAGGCCGCCTCCTCTGATGGGGTCTCGATGCCGCTGCTTTGCTCCTGTTCTGGCGCATCCTCCTCTTTCTGCTCCAACTTGAAGTTCTGTGAACAAGGTCGCAGGTGAGGCCTGGCCCTGCTTTTGCTCAACGGCAGCTCTGATACATTTAGTGGGGCAAAGTTAGGCGAGAACCACTATATTGGGTTGTAGTACCTACCCCCGAAGAGAAGACGTTTCTTCTATCCCACCTGAAGTGTGGACCTGACCTACCTCGAGCTCCTGAAAGATCTCATCCATGAAGTCCTGAGAGTTCTGTTTGTAAGACACAGCTAATCGAATTGCATCATTGAAGAGCTGGGGGTGAGGTAGACATGGTGGATGGGAGTGTCTTGGACTCTGCCCAGTCCACCCCATTGGCACCACTGTGAGACTACACAATACTCCATGTCTAAAATCAGCAACCTTACCCCTTGATTTGCCCCTCCCCATCACCCTGGCCTATGCATGCTCAATGGACTTCTGCCCCATCAAGTCCTGGTCCATCAGCTTCTCCCCTCCTTGCTGCACACAGCCATGCACTGTCCCCATTCTCTCCATCATGCCTGCAGCAAGCCCTTCTCTTCACAGCTTCCCTTTACCACCTAGTGCCCTGATCTTGCAATTGACCATACCTTCACAACATTGGTACCATCAGCAGCTGAGACAAAATACAGGGGCAGGGAGAACTTCTTGGCAAAATTGAAGCTTTTTTGGGTCACGTTTATGTCTGCTGCAGAGAGAAGGCATGACATTGGTCTGTCCATCAAGGGAAGGGAAGAGGGTTTGGAGGGTGGGCCACCGGAGGCCTTCATTCTAGAAAGTGTGATAGGCAGGATGGATTGGGAAACAGGTCCAAAAAGGGTTCAGTTAACAGGGATCTGTGTCTTGGAAAGAGGGCAGGTTGGCTCAGCTGGCTTCTTCATAAGGTGGGAAGAACGCAAGCAACTAAGGGTTGTACCTTATCATGGGAGGGAGAACAAATCACTGAAGGCTGCCTGCCCCAGGAATGGAGGAGGACATGTATGGTGGCGGGCCCCCATGAATTGCTGACACCTAGGTGCAGGGATGTCCCCACCATCAATTTTGTTGGCCACCACGATACATGGGATCTCTGGCCTGAACTCCCGAAGCTCTGTATACCAGGTGCTCAGGTTCTTATAGGTGACTTTCCTCTGTACATCAAACACCTGCAAAGAGCAGAGGAAGAAAGATAGCTCAGGTATGTCAATGTTTCTGCACCCCATCTCCAGAAGACTCACACACCCAAGCAGGCACGCATGAGCACATGCTGTGGTCGTCAGAATGCTCTGAATTGCACACTCTCTGACCACAGAGGCTGCCCTTTCTCAGGGAAGCCCCCGGAGCCTCCAGATGCAAACATTGTTTTTAAAAATCTTATTCTTGGCCTGGCGCGGTGGCTCACGCCTGTAATACCAGCACTTTGGGAGGCTGAGGCTGGTTGATCACCTGAGGTCAGGAGTTCGAGACCAGCCTTGCCAATATGGTGAAACTGTCTCTACTAAAAATATTAAAAATTAGCCAGCCGTGGTGGTGGGTGCCTGTAATCCTAGCTACTTGGGAGGCTGAGGCAGGAGAATCACTTGAACTTGGGAGGTGGAGGTTGAACTTGGGAGGTGGAGGTTGCACTGAGCACAGATCGCGCCATTGTACTCCAGCCTGGGCAACAAGAGCGAAAACCATCTCAAAAAAAGAAAAAATATATAAATAAAAGACTGACTCCTTTTTCATCTAATCTTATTCACCAATTTTAACAATCATAAATTGAATCAATTTACCAATTGATACAGTCTGTTAGAATTTGTAAAAACTTTTTTTAGTCTACTTTTATATTTATTGTTTAAACTGTTTTAAAGTTCCTTTGTAATAACTGTAAATGTTTCTAGAGTTTTACTTTAGTTACTATTGATTACATCTATCTATTTCTTTCTTTTTTTTTTTTTTTTTTTGAGACAGAGTTTCACTCTTGTTACCCAGGCTGGAATGCAATGGCGCGATCTCGGCTCACCGCAACCTCCGCCTCCTGGGTTCAGGCAATTCTCCTGCCTCAGCCTCCTGAGTAGCTGGGATTACAGGCACACGCCACCATGCCCAGCTAATGTTTTGTATTTTTAGTAGAGACGGGGTTTCACCATGTTGACCAGGATGGTCTCGATCTCTTGACCTTGTGATCCACCCGCCTCGGCCTCCCAAAGTGCTGGGATTACAGGCTTGAGCCACCGCGCCCGGCCTTATTTATTTCTTTGTTAGAGGCAGGGTTTCACTCTGTTGCCTGGGCTAAAGTGCAGTATCTCAGTCACAGGTCACTGCAACCTCAAATTCTTTGGCTCAAGGGATCCTCCTACTTCAGCCTCCCAGGTAGCACGCACCCACTAATTTTTTAAAAATTTTCTCAAAAAAAAAAAAAAAGGCAGGTGTTGTGGCATGTGCCTGTAATCTCACCTCCTTGGAAGGCTGAGGCAGGAGAATCACTTGAACCCGGGAGGCGAGATCATGTCATTGCACTCCAGCCTGGGCAACAGAGTGAGACTTTGTCTCAAAAAAAATAAATAAATAAAATAAATTTTTTTTTTTTTTTTTTTTGGTAGAGACAGGCTCTTCCTATGTTGCACAGGCTCATCTCAAACTCTTGGCCTAAAGGGATCCTCTCACTTTAGCCTGCAAAAGTTCTGGGATTACAGGCACGAGCCACCACGTCCAGCCTTGATTTACTTTAAGATGGAATTTCACTCTATTACTCAGACTGGATTGCAGTAGCATGATCTCTGCTCACTGCAACCTTTGCCTCCCGGGTTCAAGCAATTCTCATGTCTCAGCCTTCTGAGTAGCTGGGATTTATAGGCATGTGCCACCACGCACAGCTAATATTTATATTTTTAGAAGAGACAGGGTTTTGCCATGTTGGCCACGCTAGTCTCAAACTCCTGACCTCAAGTGATCGGCCCACCTAGGCCTCCCAAAGTACTGGGATTGCAGGCATGAGCTACTGCGCCTGGCCAATTTACTTTTAAGCTTCTCTTTACTTTTTTGTTCTGTTTTTATTTTTGTCTTTTTGAGATACGATCTTACTGTCACCCAGGCTGGAGTGCAGTGGCACAATCTTGGCTTACTGCCACCTCGACCTCCTGGGCTCAGGTGATCCTCCCCTACCACAACCTTCTGAGTAGCTGGGACTACAGGTGCATCCCACCATGCCTGGCTAATTTTGTTTATTTTTTTTGTAGAAATGACGTCTCATTCTATTGTCCGGACTGGTCTTGAACTCCTGGGCTTAAGTAATCCTCCTGCCTTGGCCTCCCAAATTTCTGGGATTACAGGAATAAACCACTTTGCCTGGCCTCTTAAAACTTTTTAAAAGTAATTTTTATTTTTTATTATTTGTAGCTCATACTTTTTAAAATCTTTTTATAATTTATTGTTTTTACCTATTTTATTTTTGTTTTTAATTTTTTTTGAGACATAGTCTTGCTCTGTTGCTCAGGCTGGAGTGCAGTGGCATGATCTCGGCTCACTGTCACTGCAAACTCTGCCTCCTGGGTTCAAGTGAATCTTCTGTCTCAGCCTCCCAAGTAGCTGGGATTATAGGTGTGCACCACCATGCCCGGCTAATTTTTGTATTTTTAGTGGAGACAGGGTTTCACCACGTTGGCCAGGCTGGTCTTGAACTCCTGACCTCAGGTGATCTGCACTCCTCGGTCTCCCAAAGTCCTGAGATTAAAGGTGTAAGCCACCGTGTCCAGCCTGTTTTTACCTATTTAGAAATAACAGGGCCGGGCGCGGTGGCTCAAGCCTGTAATCCCAGCACTTTGGGAGGCCGAGGTGGGTGGATCACGAGGTCGAGAGATCGAGACCAACCTGGTCAACATGGTGAAACCCCGTCTCTACTAAAAATACAAAAAATTAGTTGGGCATGGTGGCGCATGCCTGTAATCCCAGCTTACTCAGGAGGCTGAGGCAGGAGAATTGCCTGAACCCAGGAGGCGGAGGTTGCGGTGAGCCGAGATCGCGCCATTGCACTCCAGCCTGGGTAAAAAGAGCGAAACTCCATCTCAAAAAAAAAAAAAAAAAAAAAGAAATAACAGCAAGAAAGATGAGCACTACAAACCAGCTCTAGGGGCAGAACTCTTCAAGACAACTTCTGAGATGCTGCTACAGTGACCCCTTGTACCCTTCACAGGAGTTCCTCAAAAGTGTCACACCCAAACTGCCCTAGTACAACAGTCAGTAGATTAAAGTTACAACCACCACCACCCTGTAGCTGCTGGCACAGCTGATCTCACTTCTAAATCACGTAGGTATTTGTGCAGGCAACATGGTTCAAGCTCACGGCTAGAGGCTCGCCCTGTGTGGAGGGTCAGCAGCTGTCACACCTAAAAAGGCAATAGGAAGTCTATCTGAATTCAATGAATCACCAGATTGTCTTGAATTCCCAATGAAGACTCCTTATAAAGGATGTCTGTAATGAAACTTCTGGAATCTACTTCACACCAGGCTCAGATGCCTTTTGTTCAGGTCTGGTTTCCTGAGCATCCTTTCTTTGTTTTGAGAGCTGAGGAGGAGCTGGCTAGAATGAGGAGTATCCCCATCTCAAGGTTTCAAGGTGGAGGGTAGAGCCCTGGGCTCCATCTCTGACCCTCAGCCCCTCAGGTCCCCGTATGGTCAGAAGGTGAGTGCTTTCTACCTGCCAGGCCCCAAGCAGCAGACTGGGGCTGGTGGCGGGCACCTGCAGACACAGGGATGGTGGCAGGAGAGACACCCCAGGCCTTCAGAAGAGGGTATGGGGGAAGCCCATGAAGAGGCATCAGATGTAGAAGGCAGTCACTCTGAGAGAAAGAGAGGTGAGCTCAAAATACCAAATGCCAGAGCAGACCTGAAACCAAACTGCCTAGAACCAAGCTCCTCTGCTCTTGAGGGTCAGACTTCTGCACTACACTGCTCCCATTGCCTCACCCTGTCATCCTCTTTCATTTAGTACCTTTACAGTTATCAGAGTTAAAACCTGGAAACTTCCAAGGGATTTTGTTCTTAAGGAACAGTGGGGGGAATCAGGAAATGAGCTGCTTCCTTTACCATTTGCAAAAGGCCAGAAGGGAAGAATCCTCACTGTCCTCACCACTGGCATCTATACTGTGCCCTCCAGTCAGTAAGTTCCTGGGGGCAGCCCTCATGTCTTTCCACCTTGGCACTCCCGGCATTTTGCACATGCACATCACAGACAGAATCCAAGTTGTGGAAGTGATCAGTGGTGCAGGAGCACACAGGAAAGAGTAATTCTAATGAAAAACATCAGAGGAAGCTGCATGGAGGTGGCAGCATTTAAGCAGGGCCTAAAAAACGAGCGGCGTTTCAAATAAAGGGGTGTGAGCTGAGGAGAGGCTGAGGGAAGAGCGTGAAGGAAGGTGTGCAGAGGAGCAGGTGACAGTGAGCAGAACACGGCAGCTCCTTCTGGGTCCCCTCTGCTATTGCTTCTTACAGATGAGATGACACCTGTTCAGTCATGCATCCCTCTCAGTGCCAAGGTAAGGCTGTGCATACTTGTAGACAATCACTAAGTGGGAGGTAGGGCTAGAAGGATGGCTGTCTAAATGCTATGGAGTGCCATGGCAGACTGTATTAATATACACCAACAATGCTGGCAACTTGTCCATCCCATGTGCTCTTTTCATCATGTGACTCTGATTCCCCACTGAGAGGTGATTATGGCCAGAGGGATGCCATGTAACTTGCAGGGCTAGGCCATAAAAAGAAATACAAGTCCCACCGCATTCTCTTTAAATGCTTGTTCTTGGGATCTTGGCTGCCATTCTGTGAGCAGGCCCAAAATCAGCCCAACTGACAAAGTGCATAAAGAGACACATGGAGCAGAACCTGCTGGTGGTCCAGCCAAGTGCCAGCGTGTGTGGGGAGATGCCCCAGGCAGTTTCAGACTGGAACCCAGGCCTGGAGTTTTCTCAGCTGAGACTTCAGACATTTATGGATTCCTGATACATCAGAAAACGGTTGTTTTGTACCACCAAGTTTTGGGGTTTTGTGTTAAAGGAAGACCTTGAATGCTATTCTAAGTTTTAGTGACTGAGGTTTTCACTTGGTGACAATTGCCAGGATTAATAATTCAGAAGACTGGTCTATTGCTTCCTGCATTACAGATGGCTGATATTCATGAAAATGCATGGGGTTTTTTGGGGTTTTTTTTTTTTTGTTTTTTTTGTTTTTTTGAGAGAGTTTCACATTGCTTCTTGGCCATTTGGCTAAGATCAAGTGTGGAGACTGAGTTTTGCTCTTGTTGCTCAGGCTGGAGTACAATGGTGTGATCTCAGCTGACTGCAACCTCCACCTCCTGGGTTCAAGTAATTCTCCTGCCTCAGTTTTCTAAGTAGCTGGGATTACAGGCATCTACCACTATGCCCTGCTAATTTTTTGTATTTTTAGTAGAGACCAGGTTTTACCATGTTGGCCAGGCTGGTCTCAAACTCCTGACCCCAGGTGATCCACTCGCCTTGGCCTCCCAAAGTGCTGGGATTATAGGTGTGAGCCACTGTGCCCAGCCATGAAAATGTTTTTTAAGTGGCCCAAAAGAAAAACATGCTCTTTTCAGCATCTGAAAGTGGTGGCCTGAGAACCAAGCCAGGAAATTCACGGTAGGAACTTCCATGGGACACAGGTTTACAGAACTTGTTTTTCCTTTCTTAGCCCTTCCAACGCGATGCTTCAGACACTTACCGCTCCCTGGCCACTGGGGTAGGAACCCTGAGACTGCATCCTGGACAACAAAATGAGAGGCTGGGAGGGAGGCAAGGGGCCGGCCTGCGAGGGAAGGTTCTCTGGTACCCATAGCACCTACTTGGTGCCAGCATCTGCCCCTAGGGAAGAGCAGCAGGCAACAGTGGAGGGAGGCCTCAGGAGCTTGTCTGACAGGGTGGGTCTGTCAGAGAGAGACTCTGACCCTCTCTTAGGCACGCCTTTGCCTCTGGATGCTACACCTGATGTTGAAGCCCTGAGCTTGCTGTTCCACCTCTTCTTCACCCATCCCCACCTGCAGAGAGCTCACCTGGCCCCTTCTCACTAAGAAGCTCTGGGGAGCAGATATGGTTTGAAGCATCCCCAGGTGGCCCTGAGCCCCTCTCCCACAGCACTGAGACTTGGGTTAGAGGGTCCAGGGGTTCTAGGCCCCTCATCCCTCAGGCCAGACTTGCCCAGTGCCTTTGTCCACCTTCCCCAGGTTTCATACCATGATGCAGGCGTGGGCCTTGTGGTAGTAGGAGGCATGCATGCTCTGGAACCGCTCCTGGCCTGCCGTGTCCCAAAAGTCTGCAATGTGAACACAGCTCTGACTGCCTGTTGGAGGCTAGAAGTCAGAGAGACCCACATGCCCAGTGCATTTCTGTGCAAGTCACTGTGCCAAATACATCACACATGTGACACAAACCACAGCATGTGTGTGTGTGAGTGCACACAGGAACACAGGGAGGAATAGAAACTACATAGCTCTACATGTGTGTCTTCAAGACATAGTGCACCTGAATGTGCTGGGAGAGGTGTGTGTTCACCTGTGTGTGTGGGAAGACAGTGAGTCGGGGTCAGGAGCAATGACAACACAAACTGGGAGCCCAAGGAAGAAGATGGGTTCCCCGTTTCCCACGAGATATGCAGGGTCTTCTAAGTTCTAAATTAGTCCAACTTCTCACATGCACTGACCACAGATGGTAGACAGTCAGGCAGGCTATGTGGCCTGGCCAAGGAGAAGGTTGTGACCCAATGGCAGGTCAAAGCCCTAAGTGAGAGATAATGTTCTGACAATATTTTTTGTTTGTTTAAACTGGCTTACAAAGGAACCCCTAGGCCGGGTGCGGTGGCTCAAGCCTGTAATCCCAGCACTTTGGGAGGCCGAGGCGGGTGGATCACGAGGTCAAGAGATCGAGACCATCCTGGTCAACATGGTGAAACCCCGTCTCTACTAAAAATACAAAAAATTAGCTGGGTGTGGTGGCGCGTGCCTGTAATCCCAGCTACTCAGGAGGCTGAGGCAGGAGAATTGCCTGAACCCAGGAGGCGGAGGTTGTGGTGAGCCGAGATCACGCCATTGCACTCCAGCCTGGGTACAAGAGTGAAACTCCATCTCAAAAAAAAAAAAAAAGGAACCCCTGAAGCTAGGAAAACTACTGCCTTACTGAAGGCCTCTTATGTTCTCTTTCCCTCCGGCAGGTACAGTATGCCTCCTGACTGCTACTCCTGAACCCTGTCCCACACACTGGTGCTGGTCTGGACACCAGGTCAGAGGGCTGGGACTTGGCCCCTGTGTGTCTCCTTTCACCCTCCATAGCCTTTTGTCCCTGCCTGGGGTCTCACTTTCTTCCTCTGGACTCTGTCTTTATCAACCTTCCCTCACCTCCCCTCCTCTCCCATTTCCTCTTTCCTGAGGGTCAGCATGGCTTGGCCCTGTGCTGCTTACCCACAAGGATGGTCTTGCCATCTACCGTGGCTGTGTGCTTGTACATGGTCAGGGCATACGTGGACAGCTGCTGTGGCTGACTGCACTCAGGTTAAGGAGCAAAAACCAATAAAAGGAGAGGGTAAGGAAGGAATGGGGAGTAGGAGTGTTTGGTTTGATGAAATGGACCCTCTCCCTCCTCTTCTCTTTGGAGTTATTGAGATTTTAAATCAAAGGAATGTTGCAGAGGATCAGCTGCAACGTATCACTGGTACAAGCTCCATGGAAGGGTGAGGGTTGGGAGGGGATGGGAGTGTGTCCTGGTCATTGAAGTCTGAGGTAAAATGCAGAACAGGATTTTACAAACAAGTGTCATCAATGGCATCATGCAGTTGGAAAATACAAATGTGGATGTCGCGACTCCATCATGGATGGAGCTTTTGCAGGCTAGAAAGGAAACCCTAACTCTGGTAGCAACACGACCATTCCAGGAAAAAAACTCCCACAAGCCATACAGGTCACAAGCTGTCTATCAATTTGGAGTCTGCCTATGTGTTAAACCTTGAGAACATGGGTTAAACTCTGGGAATAACACCTTCCATGGCCACAAGATGCTGGACAGTGTAACCAGCGGAGCCAAGTGACACAGGTGGGCTGGGTGTGCAGAAGCACTTGGTACAACGTGGAGTAAGACATACTCAGATCTTAAGACAACTGAGCTTTGGAGTTAAGACAGGGAGCAGCAGGCTCCAGGGGCTCTTCTCACAAGTGCATCCACTTGGAAAGCTGTTTAAAAATCTCCCAGTTGGAGGGAGGAACTCACTCTAAACCTATGCAATATAACAATTCATGGGAGGAAGGTGGGGCTGGCAGCTCCTATTTTGCAAAGGTCATTCATATCAGAGATTTGTTCAATAGCAGGTGGCCCAAGCTTTGAGGTTAGAGAGGCTAAATGACTTGCCCAGTGTCAGGAGCTACTAAGGAGGAGGATGTGGGATTCGATGCAGACTATGTGCTGTTGGCCATTCTACTGCCCTCTTAATCTAAGACAAATCCAAATATGAGTAACCTTCAAAATATACAGCAGTGATTTGCAATGCCATGTGGGTCAATCAACAAGAAACCAGTGCAGAACAAAGCCTGTGCATTCACTTACCCAATCCTCCTTCCTGGGCTGCTAATACAAAGGGGTGGGCAGTGGGGCACAGATACATGAGCATGGGAAGACCGGCAGGAACAAGGGGTATTTCAAACCTTGAAGGATACAATCCATCCATGAGAAATCGCTCCATGAGTCTGTAGGCAGAACAGGCAAGGTGGTCAGATGGCGTATCCATCTCCCCATTGCCCCAAACTTTTCTTTTTTGAGACAGAGTTTCGCTCTTGTTACCCAGGCTGGAGTGCAATGGCGCGATCTCGGCTCACCGCAACCTCCGCCTCCTGGGTTCAGGCAATTCTCCTGCCTCAGCCTCCTGAGTAGCTGGGATTACAGGCACGCGCCACCACACCCAGCTAGTTTTTTGTATTTTTAGTAAAGACGAGGTTTCACCATGTTGACCAGGATGGTCTTGATCTTTCGACCTCGTGATCTACCCGCCTCGGCCTCCCAAAGTGCTGGGATTACAGGCTTGAGCCACCACGTCCGGCTCCAAACTTTTTTTCTTTCTTTTTTTGAGACAGTTTCATTCTTGTTGCCCAGGCTGAGTGCAATGGCGCAATCTCGGCTTACCACAACCTCTGCCTCCCAGGTTCAAGTGACCTTGTGCCTCAGCCTCCTGAGTAGCTGGGATTAGAGGCATGTGCCACCACACCGAGCTAATTTTTGCATTATTAATAGAAACGGGGTTTTACCATGTTGGTCAGGCTGGTCTTGAACTCCTGACCTCAGGTGATCCACCGGCCTCAGCCTCCCAAAGTGCTGGGATTACAGGCGTGAGCCACCATGCATGGCCCACTATCCCAAACTTTATCACCCTAAAGCTGATAACCTGGAAGCCACCTATGGCTTCCCTTTCCCCTTTTACAACACAGCCACACAGTTTCCAGGTCAAGTCTGGATCCTAGGAATAAGCACAACAGCCGGTCATAACAAAACAGCTCATGTTACTAAGAGTACACAGACCACCCATGTGAAGCTCTCAAATCTGTTATTTCCATCTCAGCACAATGTTGCACAAACAATTACCCTTGTGTTATGCACAGGGAAACACAGACCAGGAAGGTGGTTCCTTCTGTTCAAAAGCCATTTCCTGGCCGGCACATGGCTCACATCTGTAACCCCAACCCTAACCTGAACCCCTACCCTAACCCCTAACCCCTAACCCTAACTGCTAACCCTAACCCTCTAATCCTAACCCTAACCCCAACCCTAACCCTAAATGTCTAACCCTAACCCCATCCTAACCCTAACAACCCTAACCCTAACAACCCTAACCTCAACCCCAACTGTCTTATTAAAAGAATACACCAATCTTTACAATAATTATAGCAAATCGTCAGTTCTACCCAGTTTTCTCCATCTCAGAGAGTCCCTCCAAGAAAGCATCTTTACCACATTTGCCAATCTGTCACGGTTGCAGTCACTTTTCTCTTTCCATTCCCACTCCCTGCCCTTGCAGTCCCTCAGCCCGCACACCACAAACAATGTCCTCAACTGCTCCACACCTTCTCACAGGGCTCAGAGGGAGCACTCAAATTCCCCAGGTCATAGAGGAGCACTCAAATTCCCCAGTCCCTATGACCTGCCCCTGTCCCTGCAACACACACAACTGTGCAAGTGATTCCCCTCGTTCTCCTATGAACACCGAGACTGCTCCTTCACCGGCCCTGAGAAGCCATGCTCCTCTGCCTCCGGAGGACTCTTTTTTTTTGGAGACAGAATCTCACTCTGTCTCCTAGGCTGGAATGCAGTGGTGTGATCTTGGCTCGGTGCAACCTCTGCCTCCTAGGTTCAAGCGATCCTCCTGCCTCAGTCTCCCACATATCTAGGACTACAGGCGTGCGCCACCATGCCCAGCTAATTTTTGTATTTTTAGTAGATGGGTTTTTGCCATGTTGGCCAGGCTGGTGGAAGACTATTTTAATGACCCAGACCCTCTCTAGGCCTGGTATTTCTTCCCTAATCTCCCAACATACTTGGATTTGCCCACTGCACTGTCTCCCAGGCAGATGATCTTCACGTTGTCATCAGCATCATATTTCTCTTGGTCCAGCTCACTGGGTTTGGTTTTGTCTTCTGCCATTGGCTCCTAGCTGTAGAGAGGTGTCCGGTCCAGGGTGCCAGGGGGCAGGGGGGGGGGTCTTATCTGGGAAGATCAACAAGAAGCTGTTGTTAGAGATAAGTCCCCTCAACCAAATGTATTTATTCCTCTTCCGGGACAGGAGAGACAATGAGCCAATGAGAGAGGGGCCCAAGAACTCATAACCTTCTCCATTCACCACCAACTTGCCTGCCACATGCTGTGCACACAAGATTCTCTTAGGGTGGTTTTCCTTGCAATATTTTCCTACTGCAGGTATGCTTAAGATCATACCTCCCACTCCCACCTGGAGAGACAATATTCTGTATTTACAAGTTCTTCTTCTTTTTCGTTTTTTTTTTTTTGAAATGGGATCTTGCTCTGTCCCCCAGACTGGAGTGCAGTGGCTCGATCTCGCCTCACTGCAACCTCTGCATCCCAGGTTCAAGCGATTCTCCTGCCTCAGCTTCCCTAGTAGCTGGGATTACAGGTGCCTGCCATTACACCCAAATAATTTTTATATTTTTAGTAAAGACAGGGTTTTACTATATTGGCCAGGCTTGCCTTGAACTCCTGACTTCAAGTGATCTCACCTCAGCCTCCCAAAGTAATGGGATTATGGGGATGAGTCACCATGCCTGACCTGTATTCACAAGTTCAACATACAAAATTTCCTTAATTGTAAAACAGGGACAAGAAACAGTGTCCATGTCATATAGTTGACATAAGACACTGTCTGCCAAAAAGCCTGAGCTCTCATGACTGAATGACACTAACTATACAGCCAAAGATGCCTGCCCTACACTTGTGATCCTTTGCCCTCTTCATGCCTCTTACCTCTCCTCCATTTTCCATCCTACTATAATCTGTACTTGCCTCTCCCTCCCTCAACACGGGCAATCCCCCTGACCCCCTTCTTTAGGGCTGTTTCAACTTTTACTAGTTTAAAGTACCTCCTAAATGCTGATCATGCCCCGCTGTACCTCCACCCAGACTGCTTCCCTCAGCGCTGGACTCAGATATGTTATGCAGTTGCCTACTAGACTGGGAGTGGCAGAGTATGACACACAGGCATCAATAATACGTTTTGTTTGTTTGTTTGTTTGTTTGTTTGTTTTTGAGACGGAGTTTCGCTCTTGTTACCCAGGCTGGAGTGCAATGGCACGATCTCGGCTCACCGCAACCTCCGCCTCCTGGGTTCAGGCAATTCTCCTGCCTCAGCCTCCTGAGTAGCTGGGATTACAGGCACGCACCACCATGCCCAGCTAATTTTTTGTATTTTTAGTAGAGACGGGGTTTCACCATGTTGACCAGGATGGTCTTGATCTCTTGACCTCGTGATCCACCCGCCTCGGCCTCCCAAAGTGCTGGGATTACAGGCTTGAGCCACCGCGCCCGGCCTTTTGTTTTTGTTTTTGTTTTTTTTTGAGACGGGGTTTCGCTCTTGTTACCCAGGCTGGAGTGCAATGGCGCGATCTCGGCTCACCGCAACCTCCGCCTCCTGGGTTCAGGCAATTCTCCTGCCTCAGCCTCCTGAGTAGCTGGGATTACAGGCATGCGCCACGATGCCCAGCTAATTTTTTGTAATTTTAGTAGAGACGGGGTTTCACCATGTTGACCAGGATGGTCTCGATCTCTTGACCTCATGATCCGCCCGCCTCAGCCTCCCAAAGTGCTGGGATTACAGGCTTGAGCCACCGCGCCCGGCCAATAATAGGTTATACACAAATACTTAAGTCCTGCACACTCCAAATGCTGCTCCTCACATTACCCATTTGCACAAGACATTTACCAGGCATCCAGTGCCAACAGCTGTGTGCAACATTATCTCTAGCTCTGTTTCTACTCTCTTCACACCTAAATATGACCTTGCAAACATTCCTGAGAATGTAACCACAGTCCAGACTCTTAGCTAGCTGAGCACACAGAAATGATATGATGACGAGATAGCAGCAAGAAGTGAACCTTACTGAGCATTCACCATGAGCAGACGTTGCAAAGGGTTCAGATAGCAGAATCTACTGTGGTAAGAGCTACAACAGAAGTATGCACACGGGTCAGCAATAGAAAATACCAAGAGGGGCCGGGCGCGGTGGCTCACGTCTGTAATCCCAGCACTTGGGGAGGCGGAGGCGGGTGGATCACGAGGTCAAAAGATAGAGAACATCATGGTCAACATGGTGAAACCCCGTCTCTACTAAAAATATAAAAATTAGCTGGGCGTGGTGGCGCGTGCTTGTAATCCCAGCTACTCGGGAGGCTGAGGCAGGAGAATTGCCTGAACCCAGGAGGCGGAGGTTGCAGTGAGCCGAGATCGAGCCATTGCACTCCAGCCTGGGTAACAAGAGCGAATCTCTGTCTCAAAAAAAAAAAAAAAAAAAAGAAAAGAAAATACCAAAAGGGCCTCCAAGTTTTACTGACTGTGCCACCACACAGCTACTGCTTCTGCATAGTCAGGAACTTCGGCTTATTTAGCCAGGGACACAGTTCCTGCGAAGTGGCAGATACTTGGTAAGCATGGTGAGGGTCAGTCCCCTTCCACCTGTACCCGGTAGAGAGAGCAACATAAAGCCAAATGCAGCTGCGTGGCTCCATGCTTGGAGACTTTCTTTCTTTTGTTTAGAGACACGGTCTCACTCTGTCGCCCAGGCTGGAGCGCAGATCACGGCCCACTGCAGCCCCCAACTGCTGAAGCGATCCTCCCTCCTCAATACCCCGGGGACTACAGGCGTGAACCACTGCTTACAGGCGAAGACTTGGTTGTCCCTGTCCTCGAGATCTAAGTGGGCAAGCAATTTTTCGATAAATATTTTTGGGCACCAACCATGTCCAGGCATCGCCAGGCTGCTCATCCCACCACCCACAACAGCCTCGCGAAGCCACCGTTCTGTATTTCCCCCGACCGGGACGCCCTCCCTCCCAGATCCCAAGGGCGGCCTCGCAGCGGCTGTTCCCGCGTGCTGAACCCGCCACTGGGGCGGATTTGCCCTCACGTGCGATCCTAGGTAAGGGCTGGAGAGACCAAGGACGCTGCAGGTCGGCTCACCCGCGGCCAGCGGCCCCTCAGGCCCCGCAGCCCACCTGGATTCTGCGCGGTCTCGAACCACGCCCGCCGGCCCCGCTAGCGGCGGCTGCACCCTCGACTTCCGGCTCGACCAGCATCCTCGCAGCTGCTACGCAACCGCGAAGGGACCCCGCAGGGCTGTCCGGTCGAAGGCCTGAAGGACCCCCGCCGGGGCGCGAGCTGCCCAGCGCGGCGCCTGACGGGAGTGCCGCCAGGAGTGCGCATGCGGCTTAGTGCGAAAGTGGCGCTTCTTAGCCTGGCGTGGTGGCGCGCGCCTTAGTCCCAGCAACTCCCGAGGCCGAGGCAGGGGAATCGCTTGAACCCGGGAGGCAGAGGTTGCGGTGCCATCTCTGCCATCTGTCTTGCTACCCAGGGCATAGAAACACCTTGTGCTTGACTCACAAGCAGCTAGGTGGACGCACATGTGAGGGAAAGCTTGTTGCAACAACTGCTCAGCCAGGAGCCAGGGTTTTCTCTCTTGCTGACACCTGCCATCTTCAGTGTCACAAGGGGTTAAATCAGCAGTCAAGTTTTACTCTCTGATGAGAGTGGGTAGTTGGCCTGAACCTATCAAGATTTCCTTTTTTTTTTTTTTTTTTTTTTTTGGAGGTGTAGTGTTGCTCTGTCGCCCAGGCTGGCGTGCAGTGGCATGATCTCGGTCACTGCAGCCTCTACCTCCCAGGTTCAAGCGATTCTCCTGCCTCAGCCTCCGCAGTAGCTGGGATTACAGGCGCCCACCACCACACCCGCCTAATTTTTCTGTATTTTTAGTAGATACGGGTTTTCACCATGTTGGTCAGGCTGGAGGATTTCTTTCCCAGGATTTTGCAAATAGATGTGAACAGTTCCAGGTGACAGTTGCCCCCAGCATGGGGCAGGGTGGGGCGGGTACTCCATGAGCACTGCAGACCAGGTCATGCCTTGCCTGGGTTTCTCACCATTCTTGGTGTCTGCTTCTGGCCTTTCTTTTTTTCTTTTTCTTTCTTTTTTTTTTTTTTTTTGAGATGGAGTTTCGCTCTTGTTACCCAGGCTGGAGTGCAATGGCGCGATCTCGGCTCACCGCAACCTCCGCCTCCTGGGTTCAGGCAATTCTCCTGCCTCAGCCTCCTGAGTAGCTGGGATTACAGGCACACACCACCATGCCCAGCTAATTTTTTGTATTTTTAGTAGAGACGGGGTTTCACCATGTTGACCAGGATGGTCTTGATCTCTCGACCTCGTGATCCACCTGCCTCGGCCTCCCAAAGTGCTGGGATTACAGGCTTGAGCCACCGCGCCCGGCTTCTGGCCTTTCTTATTGGTTCTGTGTGACATCTTTGCATCCTTATCATTTAAATGTCTCTAACTGATTTCTGTTCCTTGCAATGGAAGATCTTATAATAAATAACCCCAAATCCTAAGGAAGCCATTCACAGCTCACTCACAGGCATCTGGAAGGTATTCCCCATTGCAATTCCTGGAAAGCTCTAGCAAAGAATACATTTTAAAATGTTCTCAAATCCAGGAACTAATAAGACTTACCTACAGGCAAGTAATGAACAGCACACAAGCAAAATTATGTTTGGTGGTAGGCACTTGTGGTTTTGGTTGCCAGTGGCCTCCTTAGCCTTTGTGTTCTGGGGAAATTCAAACTTCATGCAGAGTCTTTTCTGTGGGTGTCGACACCACCAGGAGAACACAGCCTCCTGATAGACTTGGACCCACACCCCTTCTTTCCCAGTCAGCTCACTCACAGCTGCTGTTTTGGGGACCCACCCCCTCTGACTTGCACATGCAGAGATGGCTCTTTTATTTTCACTGTTTGTAGTTTTCCCTAAGTAAGAAATAAAGACCATCCCTGGCCTACAGCCCCAGGTCACCTTATTCCAGCATTGAAAATCAAGATTTTTTAAAAAAACACAATTGACACTAATGTACAAGCAAGTCCACCTTATTGTAGGGTGAAGGAGGGAGGGTAGCTTTTATAGGGGAAATTTGGGTTGAGTTGGGAGGGGAGATAGGAAGAAGTCCAGAAAATATCTCTTTGTGTATATGCATGTGTACATACATTGTGTGTGTGTGTGTGTGTGTATGTTTATTTATTTCATCTTTCCTTTTCTCAGGAGTGAAGGACTCACTGGGTCTGTTGACACGGGGTCAGATCAGGAGGGAAGGGTCAGCTCTGGGAGCTCTGTGGTCTCTATGTCGTAATAGTTCTTTGCGTCAGAATAGGTCTTCCCCTTCAAGGCCTCTATGAGCTGCTGTAGGCGATTTGCAAAAGAAAGTCCTTGGGGAAGTTTTGTGGCAAATGAGAGTGGAGGTGGAGGTGGGGGTGAGGGCAGTTGCTGAAGAGGGGGCCGGGACTGGGCTGCAGGTGGTCGGGATGGAAGTGGTCGAGGGGGCTGTTGGAAATACCAAGGAGGGTGAGTAGAGACAGGGTGGGAGGAGGGGGGTCGAAGTGGGGGCGGTCGAGTGGCAGGGCGTGGAGGGGTGGGCGGTTGAATCATATGCAGGGCATTAGAACCAATCTTGGAGGCAATCCAGTTCAGATAGGGCCAGGTGGCTGTGTAGATTCCGGGGCGCTTAGCACGGGCACAGCCTACCCCCCAGCTTGTGATTCCCACGACCACATAGGCGCTTTCCTCGCTGTCTTTGCACATGAGAGGCCCGCCGCTGTCCCCCTGCCCAGAAGGACACAGAGTTTACTATCTGCTTGAGCCACTCTTTCCCTGCCCAGAGGGGTCAGAAGGCTCTGGGAGGACAATTTCCACAGCCACATGGTTTCCTGCTGCCATAAACACAAGTGGTTGTGCTTTGAGGTGGTGTCAAGGGCTTCATTTGGGTAGTGAGGAGGGTGTGGATTGTCAGGGGTTTCCTGGCAATGAGATGAGCAAGACCATGTGTCCCTAGGGGCACATGGCAGGGGCAGCTGGTGACTGTCACCTCTCATCCCCACTGTGACTGTAGGTGCTGGAAGAGGGACAGGGAAACAGTCACTAGAGTAGGACCCTGGGCAGAGGAGTAGAGATAGTGGAGCTTGGAGATCCAAAAGGGAGTGTTCTCAGGGGCCTGGAGAGTCCTGGAGAGACTCAGGGGCCTGGGAGCCAGAAGGAAGGTTACCTGGCAGGTGTCGATCTTGCCTGCAGGGTAGCCGGCGCAGACGTTGGTTGGCTGAATGCGCCCATTGTACCACTGGGTTGAGTTACACAAGTCCAGGTCGATGAGATCCACACGCGCCTCCATCAGCATAGGTGATGGCCTGGGGGCTACAGTCGGACCACTCAGTGGTCAGTGACCATGAGAGACACAAAGGAAAGTCCTGCCTCCTCACACAACTGAACCCCATCCTCTGTGAAGCTCCAGTTAAACCTCAGACCCATCCAGTCAATGCCCCGACCTCTCCTTATGCACTCCCAAAGGAAAGAGAGTTACACCAGAAAGAGCGGACAAGAGGCGATGGGTGGAGGTGGGGAGATGATATCCAAATCAAGGCCAGAGGAGAGAGGAGAGGAAGGAAGGGTGGCGGCCCATGGACAGGTGGATGGAGGATGGGCAGGTGGATGGTGGGTATGCATGTTAATGATGGATTATGGAGGTTAGTTGCAGTATTACCAATAACACCTAGTGTGCACTAAGCACTCACTGAGTCAAATGGTCCCATTATCCCCGTTTTGGACGAGAAGGCTGGAGCACTGCCTACCCAGGTCACGATAGGAATGTGAGGGAGCTGGAAGCTGGATGCTCAGCAGCTCTTCTCCAGACTCCAGTCTGAGACACACAGTCCACTCCTATAGTCTGGCTGTAAGCCGCCCTCCCTGCTTCTTGTCCCTCATCAGGACTCCTCAGCTCAGCTGTGGACACGACCCGCTGAAGCTGGGCTGATGAGCCCCTCCCCATATGCTGCAGATCTATTCTGAGGAGCTTGCAGGAGAAGCCCTGGGCAGTGCCTCCACACACGGGCAGGCCTGGTAAAGGCAGGGGCGGTTGAAACAACCCTGACGCAGAACTTTGTTTGACAGCCCTGGACTCTACCATGACCTTTATATTAGGAAAGACTCAATGCTATGGCGCACACAGCCAGCATTGCTCCTCTTCAAAGGGTCCCACAGACACAAGGGTCCCCAACAGCAGCAGCCCTCACCACAGCAGCACCCGTAACCCAGGGGGTGAGTCTGGATGTCAGCTGCAGAGTATATGGGAGCAGACTGAGGCAGGGGCAGACCCACAACATAGCTGCACAGGCCAAGACGGGAGACGGGAAACACATGAGTGACATGCACAGGGCTAGGCACTTGACAGGTGCCTGGTCAACAGCTGCTGAATGAGTGTTCGCTGAGCTGCATGTTTTCTTTTTCTTTCTTTTTTTTTTTTTTTTGAGACGGAGTTTCGATCTTGTTACCCAGGCTGGAGTGCAATGGCGCCATCTCGGCTCACCGCAACCTCCGCCTCCTGGGTTCAGGCAATTCTCCTGCCTCAGCCTCCTGAGTAGCTGGGATTACAGGCACACACCACCATGCCCAGCTAATTTTTTGTATTTTTAGTAGAGACGGGGTTTCACCATGTTGACCAGGATGGTCTCGATCTCTTGACCTTGTGATCCGCCCGTCTCGGCCTCCCAAAGTGCGGAGGTTGTGGTGAGCCGAGATCGCGCCATTGCACTCCAGCCTGGGTAACAAGAGCGAAACTCCGTCTCAAAAAAAAAAAAAAAAAAAAGACTTGGACTTATCGGTACAGGATGTGTTTGCAAAACAAAACAAAAAACAGAAACAGAACTATCCCATTCAATTTATAGGAATTCCAGAATAAAAAAAGGTTTTGCGTGACATCCAAAGTCTAGCTAGGAGACTGCAATGCTTCTGAGCAATAGAGAAGGACAGCAGAGGTTGGCAGTGGGGACCCTGAGATCAGCCTCCCAGTACCACAGGAAACCCCAAGAGCTGTGGACATGATCAGACAAGGGACAGAGCATGGCAGGCTAGGGGACTGGACAGAGGCCAAGGCAGAGCCATGGGTATCAGCAGCTGGAATAGAGGCTGTCACCAGGCCAGAAGGGGATGGCCACGTAGCAACTGAAGCCAGTGAGAACAAGGACAGCTGGGACGAGACTCCCTTCCCTGAGGGACAGGAGGGGTGGCAAACCTGTCAGAAACTTAGACCACTCCCTGTGAGAAGGAAATAAGAGTTAAAAGAAGAATCCTGAAATGATTGATGTTTTTTCTTACCCCAAAAAGGCGGCATTTTAAACCCAAATGACTGAATTGCCTTGAATTTAGAAGCCTAATCTATTCATTATCAAGAAAAAGAAGAAATTGAGAGGTAACTTAATTTCAGTCACATCTTTACATCTCTACTCTGACCTATGGAAAGCTGGAAGTATAGGTCACATGCAGAGATCAAGTCCTGCTGGGTCTTGTCCTGCTGGCAAAAACCTTGCTGCTCATTCCTGCCATTTAATGGGGCAGCCTGTTGCTTCTAGGACAAACAGTATCTCTAGTGTGTCAAAGTATGTGGGGAGAGGTATCTGAGATTCCTCTGACCCAGACACCTCTGGGTAATGACAATTTATTCTAGGTCACACCTGGGCCTTCCGTGATCCTGGTCTGCTAGGGAAGAAATTCCTCCTGCTCACCTAGAACTCATCTGGAGTCAAGTGTGTTAGGGAGTGTTGGATGGGCAAGAGATCTTCTGGGAGCCAGTGAAGAGAGAGACAGCTTCGTTAAGGACAGAGAGGGGCCTGCTGGACACTCCAGGGAGCCTGAAATTCAGAATGCCTATGACCCAGGCCGGGCGCGGTGGCTCAAGCCTGTAATCCCAGCACTTTGGGAGGCCGAGGCGGGCGGATCACAAGGTCAAGAGATCGAGACCATCCTGGTCAACATGGTGAAACCCCGTCTCTACTAAAAATACAAAAAATTAGCTGGGCATGGTGGCACGTGCCTGTAATCCCAGCTACTCAGGAGGCTGAGGCAGGAGAATTGCCTGAACCCAGGAGGCGGAGGTTGCGGTGGGCCGAGATGGCGCCATTGCACTCCAGCCTGGGTAACAAGAGCGAAACTCCGTCTCAAAAAAAACAACAACAACAACAAAAAAAAACGGAATGCCTATGACCCACAGAAAGCCACACCCACCACCTGTCCCCTTTCCAGTCTACAGAGGAAACGTCAAGTAACTCAGATGGAGAGGGTGGATTTGGTGCTATGACTGCCCGAGGATGGGAGCAGGGGCCCAGAGGCTGCTGCTGACGGTGATAAAGACAGCCTGGAAGCAGGAAGGCTGGGCCCTGGATTTGCAGGTGTTGGGAAATGGTCAGCCTGAGACCATCTGATCCATCCTTTCCATTTACACATGAGGGAACTGAGGCCCAGAGGGTGGGAGGCACTGTCATACGGTCACGTAACCTTATCTGGAGCTCTTCTCCAAAGGCAGTTTCAGGATTGCTCCCTGTTTCCAGGATCCAGCAGCTTGGGTCCCGGTGCCAAATACAGACACAGCCTCAACCCCATTCTAAACAAGGCTGCAGTTCTGCCTGCACCTGCCATCAGCCCTCCCACAGAGAGCCAGACAAGTCACCCACCATGTGACCTCGAAGGCCACAGTGAAGGCTCTACTTGTAGTACTGTGAGGAGAATGAAAGTCACTTGGCTGGGTGTCAACACGTGACCACTGCACCTCAAAGACCACCAGGAGAATGGCCGTCAGCGTTCCCTCCTGGAGGCTCTCCCATACTCACCTTTCTCTTCTATGTATCCCCAGCCAGCCACCCAGCAGATCTGGGGGCCTCTGGGGAGGCCTGCCTTAAAGTGGGGCAGGCAGCCCGGCCCAATGAAGCGCCCGCACGAAACGGGAGGGGTGATCTTCAAGAGAGCAATGTCATTTCCCTCTGTCATAGGGCTGTATTTTTCATGAATGATGATTTTCTCCACATATCTCTCTTGCAGAGGCGGCTTTACTGGCTTATTGTTCCCATATGTAATTTCGTTTGCTCCGAAAGCCAGTCTCCAGTCATACACTTTACTGTGGGCACAAAGGTAAGCCAGGTCACAACCGGCTGGACAAAAGCCTGGTGACAGTGACCCTCGGGGCCTTCCCTTAGCAAAGGTCTGGACCAGCCCCCAGAGTCTCACAGCCACCTGACCCAGAGTCCCAGGGGGGACGCCCCTCTCTTAACGAGCCGTTCTGAAGACCTCCCTCTGTACATCCCGACACGTACGTTTTGCCATTGAAGCAGTGAGCAGCAGTGAGCACCCACTGTGAATTCAGCAAGGTGCCACCACACGTGTGGTACCTGTAGCTGTTGTACGTGAAGAGCTGGAGGCTGACCATCCAGGGCCAGGCCCCGTGCTGCGCGGCCTGCCCGCCGACGATGCGGACACCACCGTGTGGGTTCTGCCTGAACCGTAACCCACAGGGGCCCCTGGGGAGAGACCAGGCACAGTTCAAACCAGGCATGAGCACAGCACGTCCTTGTAACTCCACAGCTGAGCGGAGGCAGGGACATGGGGTTGGGAGAAGTGGGGAAGAGCTTCCAGGTTCTGGGAAAGTGGCGGCAGCCGGGGCTCTGCAGGAAGCCGCGGGCTCTGCAGGAAGCCGCGGGCTCTAGGAAATGGTTCTGGAGGCCATGATTTCTCATGTCTTGTGGGTGCAGTCACAGATGGAGAAAGAGGAGGCCACAGGAAGCCAGGACAGGCTGTATACAGGGCCCTGAGTGATGGCCCATCCCTGGGCAGAACAGGAGGGTAGAGGTATGGGTGTGGAGGCAGGGACAGAGGGGTATAATGGCCTAAGGTCTTTATAACCGATCTTGGGTGGGAGACTCAGGGAAGAGTCCAGTGATGAAGGGGGTCCTGAGGCTGCAGGACTGGGTTGACAGCGATGGGAGAACGGATGGTAGCCCGGGGCAGATACTGTGGCCCACAGGTGTGGGGGTACACTGAGATCAGTGTGAGCCTAGAGGTGGAGGCTCTAGGAACTGTGTCACAGGTGAGAGCTACACATAGCTTGGGAGGTGTTGGCGTTGTGTAGGGGTTCCTTGGAGTGAGACGGTCTACTTGGGGTAGGGATACAAGAGGTGTGAAGAGATGATATCCTGGGGGCAACCACATGTTAGGACGTCTCAGCTGTCTGTGGGAGGACAAGGGCTCCTAAAATCAGGGTTGCATGTCTTCAAGGCAGTGGGGTCAATCCCTGGGGGTGTGGGAGAGGCACAAAGAGCCTGAGGTGTTGAGAGGTCCATCTTTGGAGGAAACCATGAAAGCTAGGGGTCTGGGGGCTCCAGGCTGATGATTCTGGGAGCAGATGGTCCAGGCTAGAGCTGTGAGCCCTGAGAACTGCTAAGGCCCAAGCCAAGCCTCCCTTTCACTAGCCCCAGACAGAGGGAGTCAGGGTGAGACCTACTCCTCAGAAGATCCTTCCCCTACCAAAGTGCCCCGACACTTACTCACACGTGGCGTTATCTTTAGCGACCACAGACACTGCCAAGACCAGCAGAATGGCAGTTGGCAGCATCTCGAACATACTCCTGGCCCTGCCCGACCTGCAAGTCCAGTGACCTCACAAAGCTCCATGGCTGCATGGCCAATCAGCAGGGTGACCTCCCACCCCACCCCCCACCCCCAGCAGTCAGGCCAGGTAAGAGCCCTTTGCCTTAACTGGTTTGTGCTGAAGAGACTTCCTGACTTCCTGCACAGGTTCCCGCACCGCCAGGATGATGGGGAACTCCTGTGCAGCCCCACTCCCTCTGTCCCAAGACCAGGATCTCCATTCGCAGTTACTCTTGTGAGATCCCCTATGTCATCCAAGGCTCTGGCTTTGTGCATATTCGGGGTCTGTCTCTCACACACGCTGTAACCACTGCAGACTCAGATGGAGGAGGGGCTCAGCCCTTCGGTGATGAGATGGTGCCACATGTTTGTGGTTCAGAGGAGTCAGGCTCAGCAGATTCATTGGTCCTTAATTGTTGTTGGTGAAAACTGTCTTTTCCTATTGCAAGTGCATGCTATCAGCACACTTTTCCAAGAGCCATTTTGAATTTCCCTAATTTACAACTGCAAAGCCCACCTTCCTGTCCATTGCTGAATATCGTAAGGTCTTCTGTTTCCTATCTGAGTGTCTCCAGATCTCCTTTCTGTGATCAAGGTGGAGCAAGGTGTCTTCTCTTATACTTGAATGTCAAGAGTTTTCATGACAGCTACCTGATGATCGTGAAGCATCATTTTTTTCCTATCTGATTGTCAGGAACTAGCATCTCACCTACCAGAGTGTGACAAATGCTCATTGCAAACGGCTGAATGTTAAAACATTTCACATCTGCAAATGTCAGGAGGTCACATTGCTACCTGCACTAGGGCAGCCTTACTTCTTCTACCTGAGTGTAAGGTCTCAACTGCCTGAGGGTCAGTAGGTTGCCCATCATCTAAGTGGGTGTCAGAAGGTCCATGTCTCCAATCTGAGTGTCAGGACCTCTCATCTCCTCTTCCCGAGTATTGAGTTTTCCGATTGTCCGATGATCTTGATTTCTCTATTTTCTCTAACCAATATCATACGTATCCTCAAATGAATGTCCTTTAGGTCTCATATATCTTACCTAGTATCAGTGAGCAATAATCTCCTTCCTTGAAAGTGACAGCTCTTTTTTTCCCCCTGCACCACCAGAGGTCCTAATTGCTCCCACCTACAGGTTAAGAATTCTCATCTGCACCACCCAAGTGTCACCTTGTCGCATCTTCTCTACCTGAAAATCAGGAGGTCTCACATCTTCTACCTGAATGTCAACGGGTTGTCTTTTACCTATATGAATATTCTGAAGTTTCTACTGCCATACTGGAGTACTGGGAGTTCTCACTGCCCCCACCCGAATGCCAGGGTACGCCCTACCCTCTACTTGAATATAGTCTCATATCCCTGTCTAAGTGGCATGGAGCTTTCATCTCCTCTGCCAGAGTATCATGAGATCTCCTCTATTCTGGGTATCCAAAGTTCTCATGTCAACCTCCTGAGGTCTGGAGGTATTGTCACCCCTTCCTGGTTCTCTGGAGGTCTCATCTCCCTTACCTGAGACTCATGAAACCTCCTATCTCCTATATGCCCTGTATGAGTCATGATACTTTATCTCCTCCATCTGAGTGTCAGAAGATCTTGTCACTACCTGACTGTCAGACTTCATCTCTTTGGATGTAGGTCTAGAGGTTCCAACTCTTCTCTCTAGGTGGCTATGTGGTCTTGTCTCCCTCACTGGAGTATAAGGGCAGTAGTCCCTTTTCACACTCCTGATAAAGACATACCCAGACTGAGAAGAAAAAGAGGTTTAATGGACTTACAGTTCCACATGGCTGGAGAGGCCTCACAATCATGGAGGAAGAGGAGGAGAAGCAAGTCATGTCTTACATGGATGGCAGCAGGCAAAGAAAGAGAGCTTGTGCAGGGAAACTCCCATTTTTAAAACCATCGTATCTTGTGAGACATTCATTATCACAAGAATAGCATGGAAAAGACTCATCTCCACGATTCAATTATCCCCCACCAGATCACTCCCACAATACATGGGAATTATGGGAGCTACAAGATGAGATTTGAGTCGGACACAGAGCCAAACCATGTCAATAGGCATATCTTATCTCCCCTATTTGAATGTCACAAAGCCTTATCTTCCCCACCCATGTCTTTTGCCTGATGACAAGGACATCCTGCTTTCCCTGTAGGAATGTCCAGAGGTCTCTACTCACATGCCTGGTTGTCAGGAGCACATGTTCTCAACAGAGGTGTCCCAATATCTGCTTTCTTTGCAGCTCGGAAGGTCTTTCCTATTGCTAGGCCAGGACATCTCATTTTTCTTTACCTGGGAGTAACAATGCCTTATTCCCCTATCTGAGTGGCAGGAGGATTTCACTTTCTTTCCTGAGTACTGAGATGTATTATTTTCCTACCTGTTAAGTAAGAGGTTTTATTTCCTTTTAATGAATGTAAGCAGGTCTCAATAATATCAGGTATCTCAGTGCCATGAGGTTGTTTTTTTTTTTTTTTTTTTTGAGACGGAGTTTTGCTCTTGTTACCCAGGCTGGAGTGCAATGGTGCGATCTCGGCCCACCGCAACCTCCGCCTCCTGGGTTCAGGCAATTCTCCTGCCTCAGCCTCCTGAGTAGCTGGGATTACAGGCACGCGCCACCATGCCCAGCTAATTTTTTGTATTTTTAGTAGCGACGGGGTTTCACCATGTTGACCAGGATGGTCTCGATCTCTCGACCTCGTGATCCACCCGCCTCGGCCTCCCAAAGTGCTGGGATTACAGGCTTGAGCCACCACCGCGCCTGGCCCCCATGAGGTTTTTATCTTTGTTACCTGCATGTCAGGAGATCTCATCTACCTGCGTGTAAGGAGTTCTTTCCCCTATGTCAGTTTCAGGGACTCGAGTATGTCCTCTGAGCATCAAGAGCTCTTACCTCCCACACCTCAGTGTCACAGGATGTGTTCCTCAGTCTGAGTGCCAGGAGGGTTCTCTTCCTCTATCAAATGTGCGAGGTCTCTCTTTTTCGACCTTTGTGTCATGTAGTCTCACCTCCTCTAGCTCAAGGTCAGGAGGTCCTATTTCACCGACTTGTGTGTTAACAGGTTTCAGTTCCACTACTGAGTGTTAGGAGGCCTCACTTATTTTAACTAAGCATCAAGTTGTGCCTGATTAAAAAAAACAAAAAACAAAAAACAACAACAACAAAAAAAAAAACCAGAAAAATGTTTCGGAAGTATAGTTCAAGAAATGACAAAAATAATTCAAGAAGTGGGCCCACTGCCTTCACCAACTGTGTGCAATTCTGTCCCCATTCCTTATTTACCTGGGCAATCCAACCTCCACCCCAGTTTTTCTCACCCTGATTTCCAATGCCCTTCAGCCCCCAATCCCTTACTCTGCCACCCTGTCCCCACCACCCTCTATGAGGAGCAGAAATCTTGTCCATTCATTCCCAATGTCCAGGCCCATCCTCACATCCAGCCAGCCAGCCAGGAAGTCAAGAAGATCCCAGAGGGAGTAAGAATGGTTGAAGGAGTGAAGTCTTGAGGGCGGAAAAGGGGTAGGTTTGGGGAGTCTTCACCCAGGGGAAGCAGGTGCCTCAGGAGTGGTTTTAGCGAGCAAGTGAGGATCTGGATGGTGCCTTGGAGAAGGACGAAGGCCCTTTGAAGCTGTGGATGATGACAGCTTAAAAAGCAGCCTCAGGCTGGGCACAGTGGCTCACACCTGTAATCCCAGCACTTTGGAAGGCTGAGGAGGGTGGATCGATTGAAGCCAGGAGTTCTAGATCAGCCTGGGGGGCAAAGTGAGGCCCCTGTCTCTACAAAAATATTTAAAAACTTAGCCAGGTGTTGTGGCCCACATCTGTGGTCCCAGCTACTTGGGAGGCTGAGGCAGGAGGATTGCTCGATTCCAGGAGGTTAAGGCTACAGTGAGCCATTATCTTGCCAGTGCACTGCAGCCTGGACAACAGGGTGAGATCTTGTCTCAGAACAAAACAAAAGCAGCCCCCGTGTCCAGGCCCTGCCCCAAAGTTGTCCACAGGTCTTGAGGGTGGCTGGTGGGGATGCAGAAGAGCAGAGGCCACACAATTTCAAATGTTCAACATTTGCTAAGTTTCATTTCATTTTCAGATTAGAAACAGGCCATCGTAAGGAAAGGGCTGCACGGGAGGTCAAGCAAGGGGCCCTGCAAAGGTCTGAGTGTGGGGGCAGTGGGGGGACCCGAATCTGTCTTGTCCTGAGTGTGTGGCAGTGGGAGGGTGGGGCTCCCCAGGCTTCACATGGAGCCCTGGATCTCCACAGGGACTCAAGAGTCTGGGGCTAGTGCCGCTTCTCCACAGTGCCACCGGCCCCACCCCTGGTTAGGGTTAACCTCAGAGTTAAGGTGTGCAGTGGTCGTTCTGTCATATGCATAGACCTCAACCTGGTGTGTCCAGCTTCTGACACCACGACCCCGCCTGAAAGCAACTCTCCCCACTTGGGGATGTCACACCTCTGCAGCCCCTGGCCCTCTCCCAGCCCTGGGTCCTGTGCTCTCTACTTTCTCAGGGCTCCCTTTGATCGCTTTTGCCCACTCACCTTACTGTTCTCCCTTCAAGATGTAGCTCATCGCCTCCTTCGACTCAGCGAGGGGCCTCTGACCCTCCTGTAGGCTGGCCACCCCCACCAGGTGCCACCCAACCCAAGGTGGGTGCTCTAATTTGAGATAGTACCAGGGCTGTGCGGATGCAGAGCCTAACATCTAACTCCCTCCAAGCTATGTATGCTTGATGCAGGCGAAGAATGGGTGATCGAGGCAGAAGGAGGAGGGCGTGTGAGACAGAACCCTAACGTGTCATGGTGGCTCAGAGACTACAAGAGGTGGGGTGAGACTGGCAAGCAGCATGTGTGGTGGGGAGGGAGCAGGGGATGCTGGCAGGGCCATGGCAGCACTGGCTGGGCTGGACTGGCCCACAGGGTCCATTCATCAGCTGCATTTACAGACAGGCTGTTTGTGAGCAGAAGGCAGAAATGGAAACAGAAAACCAATGAATCAGCAGGGAAGGA